AGCAATCCCATTTAGCTATTATAATTAGCAAGCCACGTGTATCACAAATTGTTGCATTGTAGAATACAATTTTGTTCCATTTTATTTTATTTCACCAGTTCTATAACCCACCCACACACACACCCACATCCAGCTCCATCTTCCTTTTTTATTCCAGAAGGGGCAAATGAGTTTCCTTAATCCTCCCTAGGCTGTTTTGTTATGGAGGTAAGAATAGAGGAATTACCTCTGAGGTTTATTTCACTAAAATATTTTTTTCTACTTTTGATAGCTCTTCCTTGTGTGTAGGATGACATTCTGTCTTGCACAAGTAATAACATTCTCCTGCTAAATACAAAAATTATGATGTGATCTTTTTTACTTGCTTCTAATTATGGCACAAACAAACCCTTGCAATCTATTTCCTCTGCCATAACATTACCACCAGCAAGATCTAGATTACCTCTAATATAAGTTCTTCCTTGTCAGGCTGTATGTCGAATGGTATGATTGTTGTGCTTTTAACTATGTATGGTTTTTATGTTTTTGTAACTCTGTTTGTATTTCCCCTCCCTTTTTGAGTTGTGAGCCGCCCTGAGTCCCTTCTGGGAAAAGGGCGGCATACAAATAAATTAAACCAAACCAACCAATTAAACCAATTAAACCATTGGTGAAAACCAACATATTGAATGAACCCAGAAGATATGGCAACCGAAGAACATTAGTATATCTCATTTGAATGCTTCAGCCAGAGTCTGAAGAGGCAGACCACGCAGACACTCAGACTAAAGAGCCAGCAGGCAATAACAATTTATAGCAATTTCAAGAGACAATGGATATGAGACAGAACTCCATTCTGACAATGAGGGGCCAAATTTTGGCAGAATGCTTAATCCAAGCAGAGGTCATGGCTACCAGGGGCTCATAAAAGACAATCAGCATGTCTTCTTCAGAAGAGAAAACAACTACAGCCTTAGTCAATCCATGTTAATCTCCAGCCCCAACTCTCCAACTCCAGATGGTTGCCCCTATTGTCCTTGTTCTGGGCCTTGCATTCAGACTCAAGACTTGACACTTGGACCAGCTTGTGGAATTCAATTCTTGGATCCTTACAAATAGCTATTATGGCTCTTACTTTATCCTGGTAGCCAATTCATGATATAAAAGGCACAACCCTTTCAATTTGTCATGTCTCTGGTCAATTTGCTCTCTGGCTCATTAGTACCGAATTCCAAATTATTACCAGTAAGTTTATGACATGGCAATAAAGGTTTTTTCCCCAATGTTTTTCAAATGTTATTTGCTTGGCTTGCTATTTGGCATTGGATGGCACAAGAGAAAAATAGGGGTAACACTACTAAGCTTACTCCTCTCTCATAATTGCCAAGCTGTTGCAATTGTGATTGCAGCTTCCAAGACACTTCAAGCGTATTGCCTTAATCTAAATACAAGAAACTTTTTTTGGTGGTGGTAGTGATTATTTTGAGTTATTGCTGATTCCTTGCAACTGCTTGGTCAGATTCCTGTGGTTTTTCTTAGTAAGGTTTTACAAAATGGTTTGCTATTGCCTTCTTCCTAGAGTTGAGAAAAAGGGCCTAGCCATGTGGCTCTTCCCTCCCTCTGCTGCGGCTCCGTCACTGGTTGGCACCGCAATTTTGAGAGGAGCTTTGGGGGGTGGGGGAGAGAATCACAGTGCGCCAGGAGAAAACTCAATGGCATGGCAATGGTTTTCCAGTTGTCTCCACAATTGATAGGGCTTTCAGTTATGACAGGTAGAGGAAAAAGTATGCCGCACTATGAGGAGACTCTATGGTGGAGGAACTGAACTTCCGGTTAGCTCCAGAATTGAACAAGGGGCTTCCCGTTAGGACCTTTGTGGCTCCCGGTGTTTTCTTTTCTGTGGGAAACAGGTCCCAATGTGTCTTTGAGTGTTTAAGTTTGCCGATCCCTGGCCTAGTCCAAGGTCATTCAGCTGGCTTTGTGTCTAAGGTGGGGCTAGAACTTACAGTTTCACAATTTCCAATCTGATGCCTTAATCACTATATGAAACTATCATGAAATTCCATGTAGAAAGATGTCATAGGAACTGGAACATGCTAACAATTTATTTTCTTTCCATGAAGAGGGACAGAATGCTAGTTCAAAAGAATCTGATGAGGCAGGACAAGGTTACTCAGCTATTTGCCATCTTGAATGATAGGAAAAAAATACTAAATGATTAGCAAACCTCTGTATTCAATTATTGATCCGAAAATGCACACTAACTGAGCAATGATACTTGTTTGTTTGGATTATATGGCTTGCCAGCTTTGGGTACTAACACAGCTTAAAAATAGACATGACTATGCTCATACCCACATACATCTGCAAATAGCCAAAGGCATCTAAATCAATCTTAAGCACATTTTAACCTGGACTGAAAAGACTATCCTCCAGATTCAAAAAGTGAGAAGTGGAAGTACATTAGCTAGTTGCAATGGGCATCATATTACATATAAAGCAACTCCAATTTATGAGGGTATCTCACAGCAGCTACTTCTTGTGAGGTGTTTGCTTAGGGTGTAGCACAATGAGGCCCATGGGGCATTACTCTAAAATAAATATTGACTTGAAAATTTGAGACATTCCTTAAAGTCTGGGCACAGTTAGAGCAATCCCTTCTATTCATTTATGCGACTTGTCAGAATCCCTCTTACATTTATAAACAATGGTATAACTTTGTCTGGATTTGCCTTTCTCAGCTCTGTTCAATTTTGTTCATTCTCTATTCTCAATCTCTCTATTCTCAATCTTCTTGGTAGATAAATGTTTTTTGATTTTCCAAAAAACTGTAATGCTGCTGAGAAGGAGAAAAAAAAAGTAATTCTCCCCAAATCACTCAACCTTCTTTCATACATAACCAATTACATAACAGATAGTTATATATAACCTGCTTCATGCTAGGATAGAACATTACAGCATAGTCCACATTTAGCCAGTTCAGTGGGACTCCTGCCCAGGCTGTAAGTACTCATTAGAGCAGAAAGATAGTTTACCCATTGGCTAAGTCTTAAAAGTCCCATTCAGTTTCCCCCCCCCTCCCCCTGAACCAGAGGGATTCATTCGCTGTAAAGCAAACTCCTATCTCTCCAGCTTAGCTTTCCAATTCCTGCACACTAGTGTGGGCAGAGATATATACATTTCCTTCTCACCCCTATGAGTGGTGTTTGTCTTCCTTAATCTCAGACTCTCTACCAGAGGCCTGGCAGTTACAAGGTTTGGCACAGAATCTTTTCCTAGCACTGCACTCGTCTGGGCAGAGAGCTCTGGTGTCGCTCTTGAAATCTGTCGGAGCCACGTCTTAGGAATTACAGCCCCAAGTGTTCCTACCACCACTGGGACCACTTTGGCCTTGACTTTCCACACCCTCTTTAGTTCCTCCTCCAGGCCCTGGTACCTAAAATTAGCAGGCAAGGGGAGTGATGCTAGCCAAACTATCTTAATGGGCAGATTTTGATACTAGGCTGCCTTTGAATCTACCAGTCCAGTTTCTGCTGTGATTCAGTGGATATGCTGTTTGGATGTCCCTGTGAAATTTAAACCTGTGAAATTGAAACCATTCCTGGTTGAACATGGTACAGGTAGTCCTTGACTTTACAACCTTTCATTTAGTGACCTTTACAGTTACAACAGCACTGAAAAAAGTGACATGATCAGTGGTGGGATTCAAATAATTTAACAGCCAGTTCTCCGCCCTAATGATTTTTTCCAACAACTAGTTCACCAAACTGCTCAGAAACTTAACAATCAGTTCTCCCTTTGCTGGATTGTACCTAATTGTCACTTGATAAAGGGCTGTTGTTACTGAAGCCTGAGTCTGCCTCATCCATTCACCCTATCTAACACTGGTGACGAGGATGGGATCGGAAGGTAACTAGGCACCAAAAGAGCAGAAACAATCCAGCAAGTCAATCCAGCCCGAAGCAAAGCACAGCATCGAGCAGCCATCTTAAAGCGGCAAATTCAAATCCACTTGCCAAGACAAGAGGACTACGTACGCCCGACCAGTTCCGTATAACCCAGCCACCGAGCACTGGGACTCCTACATGATGAGGTACAAATGCTTCCTCGAAGCCAACGACCTCCTGGGCCTGTCTGAAGGCCGGAAAATGTAGTCAATGTTCCTGACTACTGCGGACCAGAAGTGTTCAAGACGGCTAAAGATTTGTCCAAACCAACACCACTACATTTGGTCACTTAGTCAGTCCTACAAAGGACGCTGTGGACACACTATGCTCCCAGACTGTCCAAATACATGAGGACGCATGAGTTCAATCTCTGCAACCAGAAGGAAGGCGAAACAATCAACCAATATGTTGCCGCACTTCGAAAGGCTGCGGCCTACTGCGAGTTCAGAGACTTAGACGAACTCTTGCTAGACCGAATTATATGTGGTGTTCGGGACATTAGTTTACAGAGGAGGTTGCTCACCAAAACCAACCTCACACTACAGATTACCCTGGACGAAGCCAGGGCTACCGAGTCCTTGACCAAGTCGACAGAAACCCTACAGAGATAAAGCAATCCAAAAACTGTGCACAAAACTACAAGGGTGCATCATGAGACTACGGAGCCAGAAGCTTCAGACAGCGATGATGACATCTATCGCATGTGCACTGACGCAAAAAATTGGCGCTGAAATTTGAATCGCATTTCCCACCTTGCACCGGCTGTGGAGAAAACCACCAGAGATCGGTTTACCATTTCCAGGACACCATCTGTAAGCGCTGTGAACAAAAGGGGCACAATGCCAGAATCTGCAGGAGCAAATTCCCCGCAGCACCCAGACAACCAAAGAGCCAACCTGCATGCCTGAAACTGCAGAGACGAGGGGCATGGCAACCGCAACCAAAGCAGCCAGGGGCAGAACCCAGAGCAACATTCCAGACCACCATTGGTCAAGCCTGCACAACGCGGGCCAAAAAGCTAAAGGTCACAATCCTTGAGGGGTCTCCATGCTCCATGGAGATTGACACAGGGTCATCACTGACAATTATGTCCTGGACTATGCTTAAGAAGGCTGTCCCCAACTTGAGTAGGCACAAGCTGAAGGTTCCAGACCTATACCTGAGCGACTACCAGGGGAACCGAATCCCAGTTCTTGGCCAAGGCACTTTCCAAGTGCAATTCAAGTCCTTCAATGGACTGCTCCCTGTGACGGTGGTCGGCAGAGTCCTGCAGAGCCTCCTAGACTTGGACTGGTTCCAATCCCTGGGCCTTGGGATGACCGGAATCAACACCATTCACGATGAAAGCACTGAGGAACTCCTTAAGGAGTTTGAGGACATCTTCAGCACTGGTCCAGGTAAGTATGTGGGGATGCCAATCTCTTTTAATTTGGACCCCAAGATAGCCCCTATTAGGCTAAAGCCCAGGAGAGTCCCTTTCTCTCTCCGTCTCAAAGTTGATCTTGAATTGGACAAATTAATTGGCCAGGGAATCCTAGAGCTGGTAGATCACGCACGCTGAGAGACCCCCTATAGTGACCCCGGACAAACCAGATGAGTCAGTCTGCATCTGCGTGGATTACAAGTGCACAATAAACAAAGCTTTACAACAAAGCGCTTATCCTGTGCCCATTGTACAGCACTTACCACATTCACTAGGCCCCGGAAAAGTTTTTGCTAAATTGGGCATGATGCAGGCATACCAACGGTTGCCTGTAGATGGCACCACAGTGGAGGCCCAAACCATAGGTGGCCTTTAAATGCACCTGACTACAATTCGGCGTTAGTATAGCCCCTGGACTGTTCCAAATCATCATGGAATGGCTTTTGCATGGGATACCAGGAGTCGTCCCCTATTTTGACAACATTTTGGTATCAGCTGCAAATAAAGAACAATTATTCAAAAGACTTAGGACTGTTTTGACCAGAATTAGTGAAAAAGGCCTTCGCCTCAAAAAAGAAAAATGCCACATTACTGTGCCAAGGGTTGAATTCCTAGGGTACTGAGGCTCTGAGATTCACCCCACAAACAAAAAAATTAAGGCAATCCAGGATGCCCCTACACCTCACAATCAGACCAAGCTCCAGGCGTTCCTCAGTCTCCTTAACTTCTACAGTGTCTTTCTTAAACAGAAAGCCACAGTTGCTGAGCCTTTGCATTGGCTCCTCAGCAAAAAGGCCAAGTGGACCTGGGGCAGAGCTGAAGCTGCTGCATTTGCCGTGGTGAAAAGACTTCTGTCAGAGGACACGTTCCTGGTCCAGTACAACCAGACTCTGCCACTTGTGCTGACTTGCGACACTTCCCCGTTTGGCGTTGGGGCCATCCTCAGCCACCACGTGTCCAATGGAACTGAGACACCCATCGCCTACTACTCAAGGAACCTGTCAGCTGCTGAATGGAACTACAGCCAAATGGACCATGAGGGTCTGGCTGCGGTAGCTGGCATAAAATGTTTCCATGAGTACTTGTATGGCTGTGATTTCGAGATCATCACGGACCATAAGCCACTTTTGGGCTTGCTGGCTGGGGACCAGCCTACCCCTGCTTTGCTGTCGCCACAGATGACTCATTGGACTATTTTCCTCATGGCCTACAGCTATCGCCTCATTCATCGACCTGGCACCACTTTAGGGCATGCTGACACCCTCAGCTGGTGCCCTCTACAGTACAGCTTGCCGATCTGACCCCTGAGACACCAGTCCTGCTCATTGACTGCCTTGAGGCTGGTCCTGTCTCATCCAGTGAGGTCACCCACCACTCAGCAAAAGACCGGACTCTTAGACAGGTTTTGAACTGGGTGTGGAGAGGGTGGCCCAAGGGGCCAGTTGGGCCAGAGTTTAAAATGTTTTCTGCTAAAAGGGATGAACTGTCTGTTGTAAATGGTTGTTTGCTGTGGGGTGACTGGGTCGTGAGTTGCAGTATTAGAAGCTTTGCATGTGGGGCATCCAGGAATTGTCAGGAAGAAATATTTGGCTAGGAGTTACGTATGGTGGCCTAACATGGATAGGGAGATTGAGGAATGTGTGGCTACCTGCAAATCGTGCCAGGAGTCCAGACCAGCTCCCCCAGAGGTGCCTGCTAAGGAGTGGGAGCGACCTCAAGCACCGTGGTCTAGGGTGCACATTGACTTTGCCGGCCCAGTTCATGGCCAAGTATTCATGGTAGTTGTGGACGCCTACTTGAAATGGTTAGAGATACTCCTCATGACCTCTACCACGGCAGAAGCAGTCATCAAGGCACTACTGAGACTTTTCTCCACTCACGGCCTGCCCGATATCTTGGTCTCTGACAACAGGCCCCAATTTACGGCCATGCAATTTGAGACCTTCTTAGCATCGCAGGGAATCAGGCATGCCCTGGTCACTCCATTCCATCCGGCCAGTAATGGACAGGTGGAGAAAATGGTGCGATCCGCTAAAGAAGCTCTATCTAGGATGGGGCCAGGAGATTGGCAAACACAGGTTGATCATTTCCTCCTCATTCAGCACATCATGCCAAGTGCTACCACTGGGACAAGCCCCTCTGAGCTTCTAATGGGTCGCTGGCTAAGATCACCCTTAGATCGGCTACACTCAAACTACTCTGCCGCGACACCCCCAGATTCGACTGGCAAACTTAGACATTTTAGCATAGGGGATCGAGTTTACGCCCACAACTATGCTGGGGGGGGCCTCTAGATTCCTGCCATGGTTACAGGCATTACCGGACCTCGCTCATATCAATTGGAGCTGGAGGACGGTCGAACTTAGAGACAGCATATTGACCAACTCCTTGGCCGCCTATCCCAGTCCAACCTTCACAAGCTGGACAAACCCAACTAAGAGGGGAGGGGTGTTACATACTGACAATCAGTATAGTAGATTCCACCAAGGTCCTCTGTTCCAGCAGGAACAGTATTCAAATCTGATTGGTCGAAGGGTCTGACAGCTCCCTATAAAAGGGCTGTTGCCAGACAGAGTCTTTGTTGGATTGTACATAGCTGTCACTTAATAAAGAGCTGTTGTTACTGAAGCCCGAGTCTGCCTCATCTGTTCACCCGATCTAACAATCCTTTTTCACACTTATGACTGTTGCAGCCTCCCCATGGTCATGTGATCAAAATTCAGCCACTTGACAATTGGCTCATATTTATAATGGTTGCAGCGTCCCAGGATCATGTGATCACCTTTTGCAATCTTCTGACAAGCCAAGTCAATGGGGAAGTCGGATTCACTTAACAACTGTGGTGATTCACTTAACTGTGGCAAGAAAGATCGTACCTGTACCTATAGATTTCCTTACAGTTATCTCTAAGAAAAAAAATCTTTACAAGCCACACAAAGCTGCCCAGGAAAGGCAATAGTTCCTGCCCAGGAACCTGCAAGAGGAAGGGAGGATAGAAGGGTTGGTCAAAGGAGTTATGTAAATAAATTTTTGCTGTGAATGGGCAGTACACCTCCCGCAGCACCTATTGTGCACAATCCCCATACTATATTCTCAAAAGTTGCTTTCTATTTCTCAGACTGGGAGATAACTGCTGTATGCATTTGCTTGGGAACCTCATACATTCATTCAATTACATAAAGAATTCTTACCTGTTTGCAAAAATATCCATAATGAATAATTTAAACAAACATAACATGCATAAAGGTAAAGGTTCCCCTTGCACATATGTGCTAGTCATTCCCGACTCTAGGGGGTGGTGCTCATCTCCGTTTCAAAGCCGAAAATCCAGTGTTATCCGAAGACGTCTCCGTGGTCATGTGGCCGGCATGACTAAAGGCTGAAGGTGCACAGAACGCTGTTACCTTCCCACCAAAGGTGGTTCCTATTTTTTCTACTTGCATTTTTACATGTTTTCGAACTGCTAGGTTGCCAGAAGCTGGGACAAATAACGGGAGCTCAGCTCACTCTGTTACATGGTGCTAGGGATTCAAACCGCTGAACTGCCAACCTTCTAATCAACAAGTTCAGTGTCTGTGTGTGTGTGTGTGTGTATAGATACATACATACATACATACATACATACATACATACATACATACATACATATATATTGTGCTGATAAATATTATTTATCAGCACAAATAAAATACACACACAGACACACACATATTATATATATATATAATTTGTATGTGTGTGTAAGCAAACATTGCCTATTGTGCAGATAGATAGATTAATATTAATATCAAATAACCACAATGAATATTTAAAAACTTATAATATGTATATGTTACGTGTGTTTATATATAGAAATAGAAATGCGGTATATATGTATACATTAGCAAAAATAACCCAATCTTCCTGAGTACAAAACTTGTGCAGGGGTTAAAAAAAGAAGCATGTTTGAACAGACCAAGCTGGCAGAGGTATGAGGCCACTGCTCATCAGTTTGGTTTTAATCCTTATGTAACAGATTTGTATCTCAGCCAGATTTCTCCTGTGCTCCGGGCACAAAATGTTTAATCCAAGAAGATGGACTTTGCAAGTATACAGTCTAAATTAGAACAAAACAGCCCATCCTAGCTTATGCTTGCTTGCGTGCAAAATTAGATTTGTTGATTTGGAAAAGGTTTGCCTGGGGTTCAGGCGGCCACTTTCAACACCAAGAAGATGTTGAACCTCACATGTTGATCAACATGTGAGGAAACATGATCTGAACTCAAAATCAGGATGATCAGCTTGATATTGAAGCCTTGTGTCCCATTCCCAGATGCTTTGGCAATTTTTTCAGGGTATGGATAAGTCTAAGATAACCATATCTGGGTCAGGAGGTCTGAGCTATCCCTACCATTCCAGAAGAATTTCTTGCTTGATAATAGAACCTCCACAGGATTAAATGGAGCAACCTTCTTTCCTTACTGGCCATCCTGATTGGGGCAGATGGCAAATCCTCCCCTAGAGAGACTCACTGCAAGAAGTATTTTCCTAATAGAAGCAGAAAATTACACTTTTGTTGCAGTGAAGTTAGAATTCAGTGCAAAGTTAGAGTTCAATGAATATGGTAGGTATACTTATGTTTGTTAGAGATCTACAACTATACTATTTAGCTATATAATATTCATATACACAAACAGACAGTTTAAAGGCATTCCCTCATATATATCCCAGTGTCATCATATAAGGCAAAGATGGAGAACCTCCAGCTCACAGGTGTAATCTAAGGGAGGCTAGCCAGCCTGCAGTACCACCACCACCACCACCACCACAAGTAAGGCCATTCCCATCAGAAAGCTCTCCTTTTTCCAAATTGATTTTTGCTTTCTATACTTTCCTGATGGTAGAAGATACAGGGCAGATGAATGTGGTAAGAGCTACTATTAGAAGCATTCTGCTGGAAGTAGCAATAGCAATAGCACTTAGACTTATATACTGCTTCACATTGCTTTATAGACCTCTCTAAGCTGTTTACAGAGTTAGCATATTGACCCCAACAATCTGGGTCCTCATTTTACCAATCTTGAAAGGATGGAAGGCTGAGGCAACCTTGAGCCTGGTGAGATTCGAACTGCCAAATTGCAGACGGCTGGCAGTCAGCAGAAGTAGCCTGCAGTACTTCATTCTCACCACTGTGTCACCATGGCGCATAAGTACTTATAAATATGGCTGTATTTTGTTTGTTCTACACTTTATCCAATGGGAAAGACTGGACTTTTGAGTAGGTTGTGGAGAGAAGTAAAGGCTATTACCTGCTTATCCTGCATGGATTATCAGTAGTCTGCTTTGCTTTGTATAGGCAAATTAAAAGCATTAGTAATATCAATAACTTCTGCCAACCTAGTAGTTCAAAAGCATGTAAAAATACAATAGAAAAATAGGGACAACCTTGGTGGAAGGTAACAGTGTTCCGTGTGCCTTCGGTGTTTACTCATGTCGGCCACATGACCACGGAGACGTCTTTGGATAGTGCTGGCTCTTTGGCTTTGAAACGGAGATGAGCCACCTCCTAGAGTCGGGAATGACTAGCACATATGTGCAAGGCGAACTTTTACCTTTTAATATCAATAGCACTTAGACTTATATACCACCTCACAATGATTTACAGCCCTTTATAAGCAGTTTACAGAGTCAGCATATTGCCCCCACCAATCTGGATCCTTATTTTACCCACCTCGGAAAGATGGAAGGCTGACTCAACCTTGAGGATTGAACCCTTGGCATTCAGAAAATTAGCCTGCAATACAGCATTCTAACCACTGCACCACCATGCTCTCAGGCTTACAGCTACTGTGTATTGTATTAACATCTTTCCATAAATCCTATTTTCTAATATTATTAATCTGCTAATGCAGGTGATGGTTTGGGTTGAACTCAGGGAACCAGTTCAGGTGCTCACATCATTAAAGGTAAAAAAGAAATAATTTGAATATAGCTCAGAATGGTATGAACACTCTGTATTTGCTTGCAGTCTGAAATGATACCATCTAGGGTAATTTTGTAATTCATGCGAAAGCATAGATTCTAAAACAGAGCCTGGAAGATCATGAAATGACAGTGATGCTGATAATGTTCAAAGAAACAGACTCTAAAAGAAAAATAGCATGTGTCATTTTCAGCTGCTATCATTGGTATCCTGACTGATTTTAGCCTAACAACACCTCTCTTGGTTGAACAGAATAACTTTCTATGAATAGCTACTGGTCAAATTCTGAAAATCCAAACTAAGCTATTTACAGCAGCCAACAAATCTCACATTTAGAAATGATGCTGTATTTTCAGAAAGCCTGGGGAATATCCACCAGTGCTACACATTGCTATTTCTGTTATGGACACAGAGATGAACTGTAAAGAGGCCTCCTGATGTGAGATTTAGCAAGTGATATTTACATCTTGTAAAAAATAACTCACCCTACTGCATTTAGGTATGTGCATGTAGGCACTCAGATGTACACACAAACTGCTCTCTTTCTATCTGTCTGTGAGTATATCTAATAAAATCTAACCTATCACATTTCTCAGTTGTTGCTTTATTTACGTATATGAATCAATTGTACCCCCTCTGTTTGTTATGCCCTGGGTGGACTGTCCATCTTAAAAAAAATACTTTCACAATCTTTCACACAGTAGAGTTTCTTTGATCATTTTAAAAATAATTTTTATTGAATGTTTTAATCTTTAAAAACAGAAAGAAAAACACCATAAAAACAAAACACAAAACATACATAACAATATAAAGTAATTANACATACATACATACATACATATATATTGTGCTGATAAATATTATTTATCAGCACAAATAAAATACACACACAGACACACACATATTATATATATATATAATTTGTATGTGTGTGTAAGCAAACATTGCCTATTGTGCAGATAGATAGATTAATATTAATATCAAATAACCACAATGAATATTTAAAAACTTATAATATGTATATGTTACGTGTGTTTATATATAGAAATAGAAATGCGGTATATATGTATACATTAGCAAAAATAACCCAATCTTCCTGAGTACAAAACTTGTGCAGGGGTTAAAAAAAGAAGCATGTTTGAACAGACCAAGCTGGCAGAGGTATGAGGCCACTGCTCATCAGTTTGGTTTTAATCCTTATGTAACAGATTTGTATCTCAGCCAGATTTCTCCTGTGCTCCGGGCACAAAATGTTTAATCCAAGAAGATGGACTTTGCAAGTATACAGTCTAAATTAGAACAAAACAGCCCATCCTAGCTTATGCTTGCTTG